CTCCGCCAGCCAAACAGTGGCATTGTCATTGGGTAGCGAGACTGCCACTGTGCCTGTGCAGCCTTCCCCACGCTGCTGCTGAGCTGAGTGTGATCCACAGAGAAAATGATTTGCCCTGAACCAGGATGAGTCATTTTTCTTGTGTATCAAACACTTTACACCTGAAGTTGGCATTGCAGGAAAAATAGCTGCATGATTTAACTCCTTTTTCTGACTGGGGCTGGCTTTGTGCTTAAAACTCTTCTCTAACAGGCAACTGCTTTTCACTCGCATTAGGTAACTGTCTGGTATCCATTCTACATCACTTTACACCAAATCAATGTACTTGCTTTGCAAATACACAGATGCCACATAAACCTATAGTTGGTGGGTTGTTTTTTTTTCATTTTGAATTGCAAGTCAGGTAAATATAATAAATTTATATGAATCAGGAATGGATGCGTTTTTGTCTCCTTTCAATCCAAGTAGAAATTAGTTGCTTTTTCATATACGTGAGCCTTTGCTGTTCATTTAGTGACAACCTCAGAATAGTCTTGGTGGGTTTTGCTATCATTGAATTACCTATGAAAACATAAAGACATGCTTTACAGAACACATTTTCCTAATATGTCAGCATCCTGGTGACACTTTATAAATACAGAACCTACCTCCACCAATTTGGACAGCTTACCTATTTTAATGTTGTGGAAAAGACAAGTCTAGCTATGTGCCCTGAAGATCACGGCTTATGCACCAGTGTAAAAGCTGGAGCTATACCATAGATTTTCTGTCTGTCCAACGATAATGTAGGAAGTCTAGAGAGGCAAAATATAGCTTAATAAGTTCTCTGTTGTTTAGATGGGCAGTGAGAATTAAGAGTACATGCCCCACTAATAGAGATATCTCTTCTAGATGCAAAAAAATTATTTTATTCCTTTTATTTAAAAAGCAATCCACTCTGACGGACCCTCCCAAATGTCTGTCTTCTCTTCTGGTTAGGTAAGAACAAAGCACGGCTGGCAGTGAATTTAACTGGGATGGCTGAGGTCGGTACCAGCCCCAATTATAATTTATTCTGTTATGTTAAGCTGTAAGCTGAGGGAGCTCAGCAATAGAAGAGAGAAGGGTAAACAGCTGAGAATAGTGACCACTTCAGCCATCTCAGATCCGTCCCTGATGGGAGGCAAAGCCAACAGCATATGTTAACACCAACCTGGCACCTGGCAGGTCTGCTTCAGCCTTCACACTTCGTGAAATGTTCTGCAAAATGGAAAGCTGCGGTCTTAAGGTTTATTGGACTTTTAATTTTATAATGCTCCCACAAACTAAGCAGTCCCATGGACACCAGTGCATCTGCAAGTTGAGTCTCTTCCCTACAGCTGTGTCATCACTAGATTTTCTAAGGGTGTTAACCTGAGGGGTTATCCCTAAGGGGGATGTTAACCTGCCGGCAGTTTCTGGAAGCAGTAATGCCAGTCTTGGAGGTTTGTGAGGTGTGCTGGAACTATTTGGTCAGCAGCGTGTTTGGAGGGTACCTGCACTGTGCGAGTTAGTGTCCTGGGGTGTGCACTGCAACGTCATGCTCATGGATTTATTGTAGTTGTAAAATCAACTCAGTTTGAAAAATACATCTTTTTCTTTACTTTTTATCATTTCTGCAGCTGCCATGTGAAGACCAGATCATCCTTCTGAAAGGCTGCTGTATGGAGATAATGTCCCTCCGAGCAGCAGTTCGCTATGACCCTGAGAGTGAGACTTTAACACTAAATGGGGAGATGGCGGTGACAAGGGGCCAGCTGAAAAATGGGGGTCTTGGCGTAGTGTCTGATGCCATTTTTGACCTGGGCATGTCTCTTTCTTCATTTAACCTGGATGACACCGAGGTTGCCCTTCTTCAGGCTGTTCTACTCATGTCCTCAGGTGAGAACAGAAATATATTGGGACCCCAACCATTTTGAAACTCTTTAGTCTTTGTCACAAGCCTCTTTTTAAAAGAAATAGGGTATGTTAGATCTTGTAGTGCTGACTAGAGTAACGTGCGAGAAATTATCTCTCAAAATCCCAATGCAGTTTGAATTAGTTTGGTGAGCACTAGCAAAAAATTTGGGGTATCCAGAGAGATGGGCACAAAAGGGGCTTTGGTAACACATCTTGCTCAGTTCAGGACTCTAGGAGGAGGCAGGGGTGATCATCAGAAATCAGAAAGATCTGGTCCTGAGCCAATGTGTCTTGACTGAAAAACTGATAATTTAGGTACTGTCATGCACTGGGTGGGAAGTAAAATTCATATCCATTTCCTTCACTCTCACAGGCTTAGTTTGACCTGCTTTCTTGTTTTCCTACTTAACAGCACCACCACTTGCTGATGGGCATTTGAGAGCTGTGCTGTTTCCCCACGCCGGGACCATTTGTAACTGGTCTCTTGGTGGCATGATACAGAAGCAGCACAGACCATTTCACATGATTTCCAAAGAGTTTCTTCTCTTTTCAGATGGAGTATGTGTTCAAATATGCTTCCACTGACTGCCAGCCCAAAGAGGAAATTCCATTCTTGGGCAATGGCAGATTTGTCAACGTTTTGTTTGAATACCACTTTGAAGATTGGGTACTGAATAACAATACACAGACAGTTATTTACAAGCATTAACCGCATCTGAGACAGAAAGGTTTCCACATTAATCACAGCACAGCATTTGACCTTCCCAATCAAAACATTTTGATTTCTTTTTAGTTCCCTACAGAGTGATACATGAATAGGGGTTTGAAACTGCGGTTCAGAGGACCCGCTTTCCCAGAAGTGTCTCCTGAAGAGTGACTTGTGAAAGGAGCTTTCCCAGCACCACCTGGGCACTGATTGAGACAGTCAGCCAAACTTTTGGCCTTTGTTGTTCCTTGGTGCTCCATAACAGCTTCTTTTGCAGCTCACTTGTGAATCAAAGCTTGATCAAAGCATTGATCAGACTGTAGAGAAACAGGTAGGAAAGAACTGTAATTTAGATATCTGACAAGGAAATTTTTTTCATTCTTTATTGTTTTGCAGAAAGGAATAGATAGAAGCCTTAGCTGAGATCAGGGATCTGTTGCTGTAGTCACTGTAAGGAAACACTTCCCAAACAGCTATACTCTAAATGGCAAAGCAGGCAAAGGATGAAGAAAGGAAGGGTTATCTCCTCGTTTTAACAGGGATAGTACTGATGAGTGAGGTGTCCAGGCTCAAAGAAGTTGTTTGTGGCAGAGCCAGATGGCCTTGGTCTCCATCCTTTCTTTCCTAACAATGGAATTGTCCTATTTTTCCTATTGATTTATGATCAGGAATTCATTGAAGTAAATAAGTAATGATAATTCTGCTTCTTTGTATGTACAGATCGCCCAGGCCTTGTTTGCGTCGAGAGGATAGAAAAGTGTCAAGAGGGTTTCCTCCTGGCATTCGAACACTACATTAATTACAGAAAACACCATGTTGCACACTTTTGGCCAAAACTGCTGATGAAAGTGACAGACCTGCGAATGATCGGAGCCTGCCATGCCAGCCGCTTCCTGCACATGAAGGTGGAGTGCCCCACAGAACTCTTCCCTCCATTGTTCCTGGAAGTGTTTGAGGATTAGAGAGACTGGAGCGGTTCTCCGCACCCCCGTCGCACTACTGGCTGTCATTTCATCCCGTGGCCTGGCTCTTTTCACCTCTGTTCGTTCTTCTTCTTCTTTCATTCTCTTCTGTTTCTTGAGGCGGGGTTGGGGTTTTTGTTTGGGTTTTTGTTTGGGGTTGCTGGGGGGCGGTTCTATACACATGGATGAAAACATCCCTTTAATGCGGGTACTTGTGACTATTGCAATTTGTTCTTCAGTCCTTTGATGTGAATGCTTTGACAGCTTAACAGTGAAAACACAAACAGACCACTCTCATTCACCAGCACTTGCGTGGTCACCAGCTCACACACATCATTGCTTGAAAAATATGGGAGAGAAATTGAAGTGGCAGAAAATAAATTGGCCTCCGAGTTAAGACAGCAATTTTTAATTTGACCCTGGCAATTCTGTCTAGTATTACCTCATTTTCAGGGCACAAGTGACCAAGTCATGAGATGAAATTTCTAGTCTTCATGGTTGTTTCTATTGTAACAATCACCATTACAATCTAGGATCTTCATCATCGTCACAATCCCATCATTATCTGAGGATTGTTCCAGCAGATACAGTTTAACTGTGCCCCATAAATAAAGCACTTAAAATAATGCAGAGTGTTAGAAGGGACTGACTCATTCCTTTTTCCATGTGTATAAGAAAGTAAGATCCTTCAGTTCTTACTACATTTAAACTCCAGGTAATTCACTGGAAGGTCTGTTGGAGTAAGGAGGGGAATTTGATCCTCTGAGGTGCTTTTCCTGAGAGTGGAGAGGTCTGCTTTTCCTGAGGTGCATGGAAAATTCATCACTCTGAGGGAGAAGGCTCTCTGTCAGGATAGCAGGCTTTCCTCGGAGTTATTCAGGGATGTGAGTGATCATAGAATGAGGACGAGGAGAACGAAACATATGGGGTGACCTTCAGATGGGACAGAAACCAACTGTGTTATTCACAACACTCAAGACTGTACAGCTTTATCCCAGTAATACAAATAGTGTTGCTTGGCAGTAATCTTTTGTTTTATATATATATATA